CCCATGGCAAGCGTTGCATGTCATGCATGTGTATGCTCACCCACACCTTGCTTCCAGGCCATTTGTCAAAAAAAACTGCTTGATTCTGATTGAGTATGGTACAAAGTCCAAAGCCTCATTCAACCCACTGCACTGCAAACGAAACAAACCGACTCAATAAGTGGCAAAGAGCTACCTAGCAAGTAAAGTACGACGTTATCAGAATGCTGCAAACGAAGCCTTCAAAGCCGCCACGTCCTCCACCGATGACGAAGCCAGGCCAGGAAGATCGATCTCCATATGCATAGGCAAAGTCTGGCCAGCAAAGATGTGCACATGAGGGCCCACATGTTGAACAGCTAGCTATATGGCCTCAGCTAGATCAGGATGGCTAACCATTGTGAGGCCACCCTCACACATGCAACACAAAAGCTCGACGTGCGACGTCTCCGGCAGAGGCCTGGCACTTCTTCACAGTCTGGGTCTCCACAACCTCCAAATAATTGAAGGAGGTTCAGCCAGTGCACCAAGAACAGTCGAAAACAAAAAAACTACGCAGAACAAGCCATCGATTGGCCACATGTTTGCCTGAGCTGGATCAGGATCAATGTGCTGGCTCTCCTCCACCAGGACCACATCCCTCTCCACAGCCTGAAAGGTGAGCCCGGCAAGCAAAGGAACACATTAAGGCAGCTGTGGTGCCTGGAAGGGCATTTGGCTGTCCTCAATGAGTTCCAGAGCCTGCAAGGTGAGTCCCAAATTGTGCATGCGCACGTACATGTGCATATACAGTCGTTTGGCACCTGGACCATCTCACTGGCCACTGGGGGCTTGCTCTTGATGTCCTCCACGGCCTGAAAAGTGTGTTAACAACTCCAATCACATTTCAAGTTGCAGATCAATTTGCATCTACAATTAGGCACCTGAGCCATCTCGATGCCCACTACAGGCTTGCTCTCGGTGTCCTCCGCGGCCTGACAGAAGACCAATCACGCTTCATGCTGCAGATCGACCTGCATGATCCATGTGCATGCACTGCAGGGCACCTGAGCCATCTCAATGGCCACTTCAGGCTTTCTCTCGATGTCCTCCGCAGCCTGAAAGGTACATCCCCACGTATACTAGACACTACGCACAAAAAAAATCGTTCCGATCAATCAATGCAATACACATTAGGCACCTGAACCATCTCAACGGCCACTGGTACCTTGCTCTCGATCTCCTCCGCGGCCTGAAAGGTGAGCCCCAACCATGTATGCGCGCTAAAAAAAATGTTGGACAATTAGGCACCTGAGCTCTCTCAGTGACCACTTCAGGCTTGCTCTCGATGTCCTCCGTGGCCTGAACGGTGAAGTCCGATACATGCTGATCAATGTCGGCTACGTGTTGGGCACCTGAGCCCTCTCAGTGACCACTTCAGGCTTGTCCTTGGTGTCCTCGATAGCCTGACAGGTGATTCCAAAAAATCGAGCGTGCATGTTGAGTAGCTAGCTAGGGTTGAACGGGTGGACAGGACCTCCACATCTTCCGCCTGCACAGTACACCCACTCACACATGTTGAGCCAAGTGCAATCACGAATGGCCTTCATGGCTATGCCCTCTCCAGGAGAAGGAAGATCCTGCCGGCAGCGCCATCGATGATGATAAGGCTCCATCATGTTTGGTCATGCGGTGGGATGATGGATCCGGTTGGTTATGACTCATGACCCAGTCCTTGATGCTGATGATGATTGGCTCATCATCCATGTTCTCTATCACGAGCTCCTCACCCTGATCATTTTCGATATCCTGCACAGCAATAAATATCAATAACAGGCCATGTCAGATGATCAATCCGTCCTCCAAAGCATCATGGCCAAGATCACCCACATCCTCACAAATTCACGTTTAACTGTACATGCATGATTTTAGAGTCCACATATAGCTGAGACAATTACGGAACCCTTGCTTCGGAAGTGAACATAGAGCTTCTTGAGCACCTTCACCATAGGGTTCCTGCGCAGAGTAACGGTGGAAAGTACTTCAGATCAGACCAGAGCTCCTCGACACACTTGTCTTTGCCGTCAGGCGATGAAGGTGCTGGAGCGCAGCGCGAAGTCGAGTGGCCTCCCGGTGAGCCCAGTCCTCAAAATCACGGGTCGACCAAAAGGGTACCCTGAGCAGATGGTGTTTTTTTTTTATGGACCCATGTCATGGATCAATGAAGTCATGCCTCAAAGTGATGTGAGCGTACCAAATCAAACACCCAGATCTAGCGAAGACCGATCGGTTTCGTTGACGTGTCTTTAGAAGAGTTATATAATTCATGATTTGGCCAAAGATCTCTCATCCTCCTCTTGCCCCCCTCGGACTTGGTGGAGCTCCACATGCAAGTTGTGCGCCGCAGTGGTGTACACAAAGGCGGCCTGGGTATATGCAACAACCCCCAATGCTCCAGCAGATCATGCACATGCACAGATTTCACCATCGAAACGATCGATATCGATTCAGGGCCAAGAAACCTCGAAGTCCTTCAGGGGCGGGATCCCGTTCGGCAGTGAACCACTCATCGCCATCATCACCTCCTTGATCAACTCATAGTTGAGCGTTAGGTCCTTCTCATGAACATTCGCCTGAAGATCGATCGAGGTGCCCTAGTGCTCCAGAGCATCTCTGAGAAGGTATCCGGAAAATCATCTTCTGAGGGGTTCGAACAGAAAGTTGTCTGAGATTTTTGAGGAGCGATGGGTTCGAACCGAACGTTGTGTGAGGTTGGGTCTGGACA